AGGATGTGTTAAGAGGAACTAGTTTATCACCTGGAGATAAAGGGGATGAACTAAAGCCGCCAGACACATGAAGGGCAGTAAAAAGTACAGTGCTACTCTGAGGTGTGGTGCACTAGAAGAAGAAAGTAGCATACAACTAAAATACTCAAGTGCAAGTACCTCAAATGTGTACCTAAGTAGCCTACAGTACATGAGGTAATGTACTTAGTTACATGCCATCACTGACCTCGATGCTAATGCAGATTTAATAAAACGTACGGTCTTAGTGGAGGAGTGTATTCGAGTGCTTTTCTAGTCAGTTCAGTCTAAATTCACTCAAAGTACTATATAGTTAAACTATATAATTACATAATAAAAGATTATTATTACTCGTTAATGTTCTTTGCCATGAGTTCACATTACTCTGAGAAGAGGGGAACACCTGGGAGAGAACGTCAGTGGACGTCGTTACTTCCTCACAGGATGATGAGCGACCACCACGCTGCTCCACACTACTGGCTAAATCCATCATCACATAAAAAAACAAATTAATTCACTGCTCCTGCCAAAACCCTCTCTGGTACTCTGGGATTTTAAAAACCTCCAGTCACCGGAACGCCACATTATAATTTTTCCCCGCCAGCAGCTGCATGTAAATCAGAACTGTCTCAGCGCCGACACATACCTGATGTTACTGGCTGTTTTCAAGATGCTGCGTCGCAAGTGTCTGAGGAAGGACGGGGAACAAAGGGCTCACAGTAATTAAGAACCAATAAACAACCCGAAACTCCAGCCAAAAAGAAATCTGGTGACTCTAATTAAAGTTTAAATGCTGCTGCGTGCAAAGAATCACCTCCCTTCTTCCTAATTTGTTTTGTTTCTTTCTTTGAAAGTGACTTCTTTAAATAAGATAAAGATAAAGTACTGTATTTTTAAATGCTCTTGGATTTGGGTTTTTTTAAAAACCTGAGGAGTTCTTGTTCTACAGTCTACGAGGAAGTGACGTTAGGACATGAAAGGGCAATCAGAGCTTTGAGATAAAAATCACAGAAAATATTATTAAACATTTAAATCTGGCTGTGAGTTACTTTGCGTTTAGATTTTTCTGACTTAGATTTAACCAACCCGTTCTCATCCAAGCTCGTCACATATGGGCGCTTTGTCAAGGCCTCTCGTCGTTGCTTTTTAATGCCCTGGGTACATTTTAGCTTCGTTTTTGCACATGTAGCAAAAACAAATATGCAATGCCAGGTTAGACTTTCAAAATAAAACTAGTGGTTATGTGAAATGGCGCAGTTTGGTTTAGGAAAACATCACGGTTTCGCTTAAAAGAACTACTTTACTTATGTGACAGAAAAACAATCAATGTTGTTTTGTTTCACACGGGAAACGAACTCTGGTCTCCTGGGTGAAAACCTGGTTCTACGCTACGATAGCTTCCTCCATGTTGGACTCTCACCGTCCACTCAGGGCTCAGCTCTGCTGCAAATGCTGCAAATTCATGGATCAAATTTCATCAAAGTTGTCCTTACTGTAGGGGCCCAGGTTCAGGTCCGGCTTGCGGCCCATTGTTGCATGTCGCCCCCTATCTCTCTCCCTCCTTTCCTGTCTGTCCACTGTTCTGTCAATGCCCAAAAATATTTTTTTTTTAAAAAGAGTCCAACTTGACGCAAAACATTTGCACAATTAGACTCCTGCGAACTGAGTTTTATTTATATTTATATTAAGTTTTTGTGAATTGTTGCTGTTTTAAATGTCACAGTGTACTGACACATCCTGGAGTACACGTCTACGTCACCACAACCAACACAGCCTCACTCCCGGCTCGTCACATATTGACACTTGGTAAAGGCCCTTTAGCGTCATTTTTAAACCTTTAGGTCTCCGCGGTCAAGTTAGCAACACTTAGCAAGTCCGGTTAGACTTTCAAAATAAAACGCTAGCGTTTTGAAACGTTTTAAACAGCACATTATTAAAGTGGTGAAACGTTGCAGTTTGGTTCGGTTTAGGCACAAAAGCTACTTGGTTAAGGTAGGAAAAGATCATGGTTTGGGTTAAAATAACTACCTAGCAGGTCAGTTAACACGTAAGTTAACTTCAGGTTCAGGTTCCTGTATATTTACACCTGTAGGTAAATTACGTTCCAGAGAACAAGTTTAGGCTATTTCTCAGTCATATAAACAATAACATCATACAAACAGAACAAGACACTAAAATCACATTAAAACAATCTCCATCTTAATACTATTCATAAAATTAATCCCTACGGGAACAAAGCTGTTTTTATATCGCTTTGTTGTACACCGCAGTACTCTAAACCGTCGGTTGGACGGCAGATACTGGAATTCATAATACAGCAGATGAAGCTGGTCACTCAAAATTGAAATACTCATGCGCTGTTACTGCCTAGTATACAGCGAAGCTGGGTTCAGTAGTGGTTCCCCAATCAACCTGCTGGACCATTTCACAATCTGGTTAATAGAGTTCCGACTCTTTAACGTTAAGTTCCCGTACCAAGATACCAGAGAAAAGGAGAGTACAGATTCAATAAAAGCACGATAAAACAAAATCAACAGTGTTTTCTCAATTTGAAATTGACACAGTTTCCTTAAAAAGAACAGACGATGATGACCCTTATTACACACCATTTCACAGTTTGCTTCAAAACTCAGCTTTTAATCAATGATTGTCCGAAGGTATTTGTAAGACTGCACACACTCCATTGTTTTCACCCTTAATGGATGTGACTTCATGCATATGGACATTCCTTCTGATATCAATAACCATATCCTTGGTCTTCAGTACACCACTTTCTTAATGTACGCAATTTACGTGACTTGCCTAACTTAAATAAAAATATTTAATGTTGACTTTTTGTTTCACACGAACCCCAGTCTCCTGGTTCAAAGTCTGGGTCTCCAACCGCCTCCTTACTCAGTCTTTTCTGTTAAATATCATATACTGTACCTACCTTTACCGCCAAACGCTGACGCTGCAGGGCTTCCCCCGCCGCGCTGACCTATGACGCTACAGGGATGCCCAGTGCGTCACAAACTGACACCGATGGGTCTTGACCGTGCGTCTATATGTGATGAGTCGGGGAGAGAGAACGGGTTGCCACAACAAGCTGAGAAGTAAAACCACTAGAGGTCAGCAAAAAGGTTTCAGGAGGTGCATGTTGCTGATTACAGTGATGTGCTTTAACCTAGTGGTATCTCCACTTTTAATACTTTAAAAAGAAATCTTAAAACATAGTTTTACATTTTTTAGTTGAGTGTTTCCCTTACCCTTATTTAAGCTTGCTTAACTATGAGTCCGTTAAGCTTGCAAGCATCGCCGCTATTGTTTATGATATTCCCCGCTAACCTTCTGTCCTAGTGATTTTTTTGCTTGTGATTTTAATATTTTGTTTGATTTGTTTTATATGTTCACATCTATATCTGTGCATTTTATTTCACTCCTGTGTGTATTTGCTGTTAAGCACCTTGCACTGCATTCAAGCACAAAAGGTGCTATGTAAGTAGTTTGATTGATGATCAGTCAGGCTGAAACTGAAATGACACAGGGAGAAAACGAAACCTGAGGAAAGTATAGCTGCGCTGTAATCCCCCGGGCTGAGGATTAAACTCGGTGTGCAGTGGAGGTGAACATCTACAAGCAGCATCCGGGTAAAAAAATGTCAAAGTAAAATATTTATTTTAGTAAAAAGTATTACCTGCCAAACGTACTTCAGTATCAAAACATTACTGTCCGTTTAAAACCACGTACCTCCCTAGTTGATCATTTGTTTGTTCTCTGGAGGATTATATGCTTTTTTGTAGGTTTAGACAACAATTCAAGATTTTAAGATAAAAAAACAGAACTCCTGTCACGAAGCTTAAAACAAGATAAGGTGGCATTTTAGCAAAACATGGTTTTATTTTTATTCCAATAAAAGTAAAAGTACTCGTGCTGAGTGGTGTTATCGTAAATTATTATAACAGATGCACCATGTGAACAAAACTTGGACTAACAGAACTGGTTGAGGACGAGCTAATTTGACTGTGTGACATGGGTCCACAGACCAGGTTCTGTTTATTAAAATCAGACATTTACTGGTTTAATTCCTTTTGTTCTTTACTAGAGTAGAAAATACGTTCTGGGGAATAATTTACAAGTACCAAAAGATTCTACTCAAACCTGCATTAACTGTTTTATTTTGGTTTCAGCACAACAAGCAGTGACCAGCTCATAAAGTATTTGGTTAAAGGGTTAGGGTTATAGGGTTATATAGTAATATTATTAGTACTTCATATACTGATGGGTTGTTTAATCTTTAACAATGCATCACATTTTATAAGATGATCATATTACGTTGCATTTATTTGACGTGCCCAACGGACAACAACTACATTCAAAATCCCTGAGAACAAAAACTAGAAGTCCTTAAAAAAGGAATAAAGCTACCGTAGAAAAAAAAGTTGCAGGTTGAGAATCATTATTGGGTGCTGCAGGTGCAATATAGAAAGATATTGTGCTATTATATTTATGGATTCTGCACAAACGTCCTTAACATATATTATACATATTAACATACAAACAGTGTGTTTTACTCATATGATGCAGTACTGTAGTTTATAAGAGAGGAAATGTGTGTGTATTATGAGACAAATATCGAATAGTAGTTTTTCATATACAGGTGTGTTGTTTAGTCTTGCATTTATCTGACGTACAACAACTGCATTCATAACAAATGAGAAGTGTTTTATTTTATTTGTTTTTGATGTAAATTTTAATCAGAAATACTACTACGTACTCAGTTCCCTGTGACATGCCGCAGAAGCCAAAGGATAAAATGCAATAAAAAACATCGACTCTCAGTCACACTTGAAAAGAGAAACCGACCGATGATGAAGAGGGATTAAAAAATAATCTAAAAGCCTCTGAGAAGTGTATAAAAAAGGAAAAGCAGTAAAAACAATCATCACACAGGACGAAGAGGAACATCTGAGGAGGAGAACAAAAGTAATCTTTCTTCTTACCTTTGATTGTGTGAGTGGAGGAGATTCCTGCACAAACAGGTGGATGTCAGAGCATGAGCGGTCCGCACTAACAGGTGGAGAGAGAGGCGGCGAGCAGCCGCGCGGTCGAGAGAGGTAGGGGGGAGGAAGAGAGAGAGAGAGAGAGAGCTCCCCTTCATAGATTTAGACTTTTAACCCTTCCCCTTCCTTTCATCTGCCTGTTTTTTCTCTACGTGTGATTTCTGTGTTTAATATCCTCTCGCTGAGCTTCACATTTATCTGAAATGTCAACAGCGATGAAGCTCTTCCTTTAATCACACTACACATGTATTAGATTAACTCTCCCTCCCTCTCTCTCCTTCTCCTTTTCTTTCCCTGTGGCTGCAGATTGCAGGTGGGGGGGGGGGGGGCAGCAAAATAATGTGCCAACAGCAGCATCTGTCTCTCTCTCTCTCTCTCTCTCTCTCTCTCTCTCTCGCTGTATAATTTGTGGTTAATGATGCCTAATGATACACGTGTGCATCCAACACACATATACAATCACATTTCCATGCATGGCTGCAGTTTTGTTTACTCCTCCCTTCCAGGAAAGGGTGTAGATGATCTGGCCCTCCATCCCTCCTCCCCCCCCCCCCCCTTTGTTTTATTCTTCTTTAACCCTCCTCCTCCTCCTCTTCTTCTCTCCTGTGGTCAGACAGATAGGTATCCCAGGGGTGAAGGAACCCCTTGTTAAAAAAAGACTCCCACCCTCCATATGTCCTCCTCCTCCTCCTCCTCTTCTCCTCGCTGCATCTCATCCACCCACACACTCCCTCCACCCATCCAGGCATGCCAAATGGACTAGGGGGGAACCCTGAGATGATTTTCTTTTTGTAATTCTTCATCCACACCTCTCCCCTGTCCATCTCCATCAGTGATCTGGAGTGATGCAAAGCCCTGCAGGCCAGTTCAGTGGAACATAAAAATATACCACGGCTGCTGCTGCTGCGTTGGGTTTTTGTCTTGTGAAGCCCAGATGGAACACTTTTCTTTTTTTTCTGTTTTCCACCAGCTGACAGCGAAGAGTCTGAGAGCAAAGCCTCTCACCATCTCTGCTGCTCTGAGAAAATCAGCACTGGGTCGTGGCACTTTGTTTTGCAGGAGGTATTTCTTTATTAAAGTGAAGCTGTGTTTGCGGACAGTAAAGATCAGTGGGTTGATGACATCTGTAAACCAAAACTGGCATTTAGGATGATACACTGCAAAATGTGCAGGTGTGAGGGATATATAGATAGTTCTCCTTTACTTTTCTGTTGTTATGAGCCATCTAGTGAGTGAAGTAAGACGTGGAGATGAAGTCCAAAAAACGAACAAAATAAAAATCCATTCACAAAAAAGGGGTGGAGTTAACAGCAGATGACCAATCACAAACATGGACAAGTCTACTGGCAACAGAGCGTCATATCTTAGGCCCGTCCACACTTCTCCGTTTTAGTTTACAAACGGAGTATTAAAACGAATACGATCTCCGTCCACAGCAGCGTTTTAGGGTTCATCTCCGTCTACATTAAAACGCACGACTAGTGGGCGTTAACGTACAGTGGGCATGCACCTGCTGGTGTAACCATGAAGCATGATGGTCTGTTCCGTAGTCACAGAAGATTTGGAGAAAGAATAAAGAAGTGCAGATGAAGAATCTCACCTTTTTTTGCACGCACCAATAACGAGCTGGGACTGTTACTGACTGCAACACGGGAGTGTGGCGGCGGAAAACAGACTGGAAAGTAAACAGCGACACGCTCAGTACAAGTGTAGGCAGATAAGTGTTATTTACACGGTACAGACCATTTTAATAAAAATACTAAATCAAAAACTCTGTCAGCAGCATCGTGTTTCTGCTTTGCTTGACTTAGAAGAGCCAATCAGAGAGCCGAACGTGAGCGTATGCGACATTGTTTCTAAAGTCCTGTTTTAGGTCTTCGTTTACCCTGTTTTAGTTTGGATTTTTACTAAATGAACATCACGCTGTGTTGAAGAAGACTTGAAACTAGCGACTGAGACCATAAACTCATCAGGAAAGTGTTTACTGAGGGAATAAATCAGCTGACAAGTAGAAACATTTTCTCATAGACTTCTATACAATCACACTTCTTTCTGCAGCCGCTGGAGGCACCCCCTGCTGGCTGCTGGAGAGGACGCAGGTTTAAGTCGCCCCCTCCTGGCTGCTAGAGAGGACGCGGGTTTAAGTCGCCCCCTGCTGGCTGCTGGAGAGGACGCAGGTTTAAGTCGCCCCCTCCTGGCTGCTAGAGAGGACGCGGGTTTAAGTCGCCCCCTGCTGGCTGCTGGAGAGGATGCAGGTTTAAGTCGCCCCCTGCTGGCTGCTGGAGAGGAAGCAGGTTTAAGTCGCCCCCTGCTGGCTGTTAGAGAGGACGCAGGTTTAAGTCGCCCCCTGCTGGCCGCTAGAGAGGACGCAGGTTTAAGTCGCCCCCTACTGACTGCTAGAGAGGACGCAGGTTTAAGTCGCCCCCTGCTGGCTGCTAGAGAGGACGCAGGTTTAAGTCGCCCCCTGCTGGCTGCTAGAGAGAACGCAGGTTTAAGTCGCCCCCTGCTGGCTGCTAGAGAGGACGCAGGTTTAAGTCGCCTCCTGCTGGCTGCTAGAGAGAACGCAGGTTTAAGTCACCCCCTGCTGGCTACTGGAGAGGACGCAGGTTTAAGTCGCCCCCTGCTGGCTGCTAGAGAGGACGCAGGTTTAAGTCGCCCCCTACTGACTGCTAGAGAGGACGCAGGTTTAAGTCGCCCCCTGCTGGCCGCTAGAGAGGACGCAGGTTTAAGTCGCCCCCTGCTGGCTGCTGGAGAGGACGCAGGTTTAAGTCGCCCCCTGCTGGCTGCTAGAGAGGACGCAGGTTTAAGTCGCCCCCTGCTGGCTGCTAGAGAGGACGCAGGTTTAAGTCGCCCCCTGCTGGCTGCTAGAGAGGACGCAGGTTTAAGTCGCCCCCTGCTGGCTGCTAGAGAGGACGCAGGTTTAAGTCGCCCCCTGCTGGCCGCTAGAGAGGACGCAGGTTTAAGTCGCCCCCTACTGACTGCTAGAGAGGACGCAGGTTTAAGTCGCCCCCTGCTGGCTGCTAGAGAGGACGCAGGTTTAAGTCGCCCCCTGCTGGCTGCTAGAGAGAACGCAGGTTTAAGTCGCCCCCTGCTGGCTGCTAGAGAGGACGCAGGTTTAAGTCGCCTCCTGCTGGCTGCTAGAGAGAACGCAGGTTTAAGTCACCCCCTGCTGGCTACTGGAGAGGACGCAGGTTTAAGTCGCCCCCTGCTGGCTGCTAGAGAGGACGCAGGTTTAAGTCGCCCCCTACTGACTGCTAGAGAGGACGCAGGTTTAAGTCGCCCCCTGCTGGCCGCTAGAGAGGACGCAGGTTTAAGTCGCCCCCTGCTGGCTGCTGGAGAGGACGCAGGTTTAAGTCGCCCCCTGCTGGCTGCTAGAGAGGACGCAGGTTTAAGTCGCCCCCTGCTGGCTGCTAGAGAGGACGCAGGTTTAAGTCGCCCCCTGCTGGCTGCTAGAGAGGACGCAGGTTTAAGTCGCCCCCTGCTGGCTGCTAGAGAGGACGCAGGTTTAAGTCGCCCCCTGCTGGCTGCTAGAGAGGACGCAGATTTATGGCTCTTCAGCACTGGCTCACCGCTCAGTTTCACCTCAGCTCTCTGTAAGAACCACATGTAGCTGTGAGCCACTGTTAGCAGTTAACCTCTTCTAAGACATAAACATCCCCCCAGCCCACCTCCAATGATTTATCACTTTAACAGCCGTCTCTCAGGGGCCCGAGGGGACTTTTCTACATGTGATGTATTTGCCTCCGGCTCTTCTCCTCCACATCTGACATGTATATGAACATTCATCATCATTTCACTCCACGTTTGAATTCTATGCAGGAAAGTGACAGAAAGTAAAACCAGCAAGGCTCGAAAATATAGAAGAGGAAATGATGTGAGTGCAGTTTGTGATTATTACTGCGACAAAAAAGATCAGGGTGTTTTTTTAAATGATAACCAGGATAAGAAAAACTCTGTTTATCTCTGATGATATGTTTCAGCTCCCGTCATTGATCAGATTGATCAGTTCTCCTGCACAGCTCTGGGATCAGCTGCTCAGTTATAATCGTCACGATGTGTCCGAGTGGATGTTCAAGACTTACAGTTGAGACGTACCTGGTTAGTTTCACTGTCCATTTTTCCATCACGCGGACTTCCGTGTTTAACAAGATAATTACCGTAACACTTCGACTAACTGAACAGTGTACTTTGTACTGGCAACACTTCTGTACGGAAGATGAATAATAAGAAAAAGAAGCCGTAGCGCTTTGCACAGCGTGCTCAGTGAATGATTCATCATTCTGGCCACACTCTGCTGCCCTCTGGTGGACAAACGTTTACTTAGAAACCTGTAAATAATTTCTTAAAGCCGAGTTCACACTACAAGATTTTAAGCCCAATCCGCGAGCCGCTGAGCTTGCAGACAGTCGGGCTGCGATCAGGGGCAAATCAACGAGCGATCAGAGCTCGCCAATCGTTATGTGTGAACTACTTACTCAATGACGAATCAAAGAGGTTCGCCGACCCCAGCCAGAAAACTAGCATGCTAAATATGTAGAGCTGTCGGCTGACTCGACACTAACATCCAGCCAATGAGAGCCGGCAGCTACTTTTTCACTACACAACATGTTTTTCTTTCTTTACTGCTGCTCTGCACCTTTTCTGCCGTTCCTTCTTCATGTCCAACCAAACGCTCGCCATCCTGTTAATTATTAACGATAACGAGTCACATAATTGAAAATGTTAAGTGCCGCCCGTGCCTCCTTCATTCTTTGCCTCGCAGATATGTGCTGCCAATGAAACAGTCATGTATTATGCAGATTGAGTGTTATTAACCCTGATGACCCGTAAGAAATGAGACAATAACCCTTCAGGTCTAATTTCATTTGCATCACAGCGTCCGTCCGACGCTGCTTCATCGTACTCGGTCCACACTCTCCCTTTGTGAACCTTCGTTTCTGAATCCTCTGCAGGTATGGAGACTGTTGACCCTGAATCACACAGACACTCATCTGCATAATTAAATAGGGAATTAATGAAAAAGACATATATTTCAAGAAGTGAAATGTTTAGTTTTATGCTTTTTCAGACTCTGAATGTTAGACAGATAACAAAATAAGAAAGTAAAATTGCGTGTTATAAGAGGATCATGGCTCCAGTAAGATAAGGGTCAACTAAAACCTTGACTAGGGTTTGAATTTAGTAAAAGTTTATTTCATTTTACA